AACGTCGCGAACAGCCAACTTAGATTACATGTATTAGTACGGTCCTTTTGATTGAAAGCGAGTCTGCTTAACATCTTTTCAATAACGAGACGACGGCAGAACATCAGATGAAAGATAGCCATGCGAGCGAGCGAGCAGGGTTGCGAGAAGGTTGCAGCATGGTCGATTTAATACGCGCGGTAAAGAAGCTCCGGCGCTAGTGTAAGAAGCCGCTGTCTCACGTTCATAGACGAAACGAAGCCATTGGCTCCAGCTAGAAGAAGCGGTTATCCCTGGGAACCAAGGTCTTCTCATGGTCAGTCCATCTGTTTTGAGAGATCCTGGGGTGGTTCACAGGTTTTGCGTTAGTGCCCCTAGGGTTAAGCAACAAGAATGACAATGAAAGATGTTATGATATGTTTGGGAGCAGTTCGGCGATCGGAGAGGGGGGGGGGGCATTTTGCTTCCCATCGATGTGTCGACCCATCTAGATAGCCTTTTCTTGAGTTGACACGTTTTACCATGGTGGCTAGACGAGCTTGCTCCAGCTTCACAAGAGTTCACAAGTTTCACCAGAGTGAGACTTGTAAACCGGAAGTAGTGAAGCAGTGAAAGTGCAAAATGCCCCCCCGTCGCCGAACTGCGCCTGTGTTTGTTATAACAAAGGGGAACCTACATACTTCTTGATTATGACGGCAGAGGATGAAGTGTGAGTGAATGGAAGTCTTACTTAACGCAGAAAAGGTGCAGTACAGACAGAGCGGACCAATCACATCATGAGTCCGGGTCACCAGTACTCGGGAGCCCACACTGACAGAGTTCTCGCCCGGCAGAGGATGAAGTGTGAGTGAATGGAAGTCTTACTTAACGCAGAAAAGGTACAGTACAGACAGAGCGGACCAATCACATCATGAGTCCGGGTCACCAGTACTCGGGAGCCCACACTGACAGAGTTGTCGCCCGGCAGAGGATGAAGTGTGAGTGAATGGAAGTCTTACTTAACGCAGAAAAGGTCTCCCCGAGAACTCTGTCAGTGTGGGCTCCCGAGTACTGGTGACCCGGACTCATGATGTGATTGGTCCGCTCTGTCTGTACTGTACCTTTTCTGCGTTAAGTAAGACTTCCATTCACTCACACTTCATCCTCTGCCGTCATAATCAAGAAGTATGTAGAGTTCGGGTGTAGGTTAGGACTCCACGAGAGGTCACGGCTGCCATGTCTCGCCTCGCCGCGCGCGGCGATTGCAACTGATTTTACGAGAGCAACATGGTCGTGCGATTAAGATCCCGGTCCCTTCACATAGTTCTGGCATCACGCGAATCTGCTTGGGATTTTTCCAAACCAGAATATTCAATGGGACGACAGTATTTTTGAATGGCAGCTGTACTTATTCGACGGGTTGCTGTATTTCTTCAATAGGACCTACTTTTACCGTCTGGCCGAGAATCTTAAACCTTACAATATCTTACAATTGAGGCCAAAAGAAGGATTCACCCTGAAAAGAATTTTCGTAGATTGCTGATGTATTCTCTAAATATTATTTCTATGTTAATGGGCGTTGTTTTATACTAGTAGTTGAATATCGGGCCCATTCCTTTCATAGCCTTCACACCTGCAAGTATAAAGCAGACGGTTGGAAATCTCATGAACTATGCAAATGCAAAAAATACATAGCGAAAGCATCGCGGAGAGCACCTCCGCGGCGGCGGCAGGCTGACCTCTCGTGGAGTCCTAACCGTTCCCCGAGTTCTCGCCCCAGACGTGGCAACGAGACGATAGACTGGGATCACCGTCGCAGACGACGATAAGTTCTACCGCAACTTCATGATCAGGATCGCATCATTCTATGAGGAGATATCGTGAACGCAAAGAAGAGAGCCCGACAAGGCGTCACCATTCCGCCCAAGTTCTTCAGCGCCTCTCCTGAAAACGTCAACTGGAATGGGGAGAGATGGGAGTGAAGATCGACGGTCAACTACACCATCTCCGCTTTGCTGACGATGTCTTGATAACACCAAACATCGAGCAAGCGGAACGAATGCTGGCTGATTTCGACTGCGCGTGTGGAAAATCGGTCTACGGCTGAATCTAACGAAGACGATGTTCATGAGAAACGGATTGGTTTCTGATGCCCCATTCACGCTCAACACGACCATCTCTGAATGCTCTAGCTATGTGTACCTAGGCGTGAAAGCAACGACCTAGCACCAGAGCTGAGCAGGAGGAAGCGAGCGGCTTGGGGAGCCTTCAAGAACATCGAGGGAGTAGCGAAGAAGACGAAGAACACCAAGCTCCGTGCCCACCTCTTCGATTCCGCGGTCCTTCCTGCCTTGACGTACGCCTCAGAGACTTGGACTCTACGAAAGCAGGATGAGCATGCGGTTGGCGTTATTCAACGCGCCATCGAAAGGGCGATGCTCGGAGTTTCACGCAGTGAGAGAGGGAATCCGGAGCTCCGCACTCCGCCGACGATCGAAGATCAGAGACGCCGCCGTTTGCCAAGGTTTCGAAGATCATTTGGGCCGGGCACGTCATGCGCTTCGAGGACTACCACTGGAGGACTACCACCAGAGCGATTACCTGCTGATTCTACGGGAATTCAAACGAACGACCAATTGGGCAACTCTAGCTCTCACTCAGACTAAAGGAGACCGTGGCGCCTGCTCTAGCAACTCGTGCAGCGGGAGCACAGGTGATGCAGGTGGTCCTTTCAATACAGTAGCGTGAGCCGTGTTTTTTAGCGTACATGGGATATAGATTCCGTTCTCATAAGTGAACATCCAACCATGATCTAGAGGTGCTGACTGCTAAAATATTGGTGACTTCGCATACCCGCTTGCAATATAGAGCTCGCTTTCGAGCCCAAGCAAGATGCATGTGCAACAAAAAGGAGTGAGCTTTTGGTGCTCAGTGATCCATTATTATCACAACCGCAAGCGATATAGGAAACAGAGATTTTGGCGTCACTCATGAACACCCCTCTGTAACCAACTACTCACGACCAGCTTTTGCTTCGAAGAGTTTGACATCATGTTTGAACAGTAGTGCAGGCCTGTATGGAGCCGTGAGCCACTGCCTTTACGTCTTGGTGGCGATCGACAACATCCTGCTCTTGTCAAGGTTCGGTTCCCTACGAACACTTGATTCGAACTCAGGGGATAGAAGTAGTGTTGTTCTTTTGATATGACGGATCCATGCTTTATCCGTGTCAGA